CGAGGTGGTGTCTTTTAATTGGGCTGCCGATAATAGTGAGGGCTATGCTGTGGGCAGTGAGCAGAGTGTTCAGGGTGTGCAGAAACGTAGTGATTTGGTGGATGAAGTTGTGAAGTGAATTTTTTGGAATTTAATAAAGTATTAGAAGTAAAATATGTGTTTTTATTATTATTTTAACGTTTTTTTTTTTTTAAACGAGAAAAAAGTCTAGGACTGATGAAGATTTCAATTAGTTAGCATGAATTTTAGGGGCAGGAGGATTAAGCCAACCATTTTTCAATTTTCAAGGAAAAAGTGATATAAATTGCAAAGTATGTAAAACGTATGCCTAAGAATTGAAGATTGATTAGTTAATTTCTCACCTGTAAAATACTAAATAAGTAATCGATTACTTATCTCTCTACTTTTAAACAGCCCTGTTTTTAAAAATGCAACTCTGCATTTAGATGGCTTGTTTTGACATTTTCTTTTGTATTATACGTAGAATGTGGCAAAAACAACAAAAGTGAAAAAATTAAAACAATTTTTACGAAGAAATTTATTTAGAATCGAAAATATTCAATTAATATTTATTAAAATATAAAAAATTTAAGACAAAATACAATAACAATGGAAATGGAATATGATGAGACTGGTTGGCAACAGGGTAGGCCAAAGCAGCAAGGAGAAGATGAGGTGAGACTGTCCAAAGGAGATATAAAAAAAAGAATTTCTATACTTTTAATATATTTTAGGAAATGCCCGAGGATAATCCCCAAGAAACCATACAGGAATGTCTGGAGAAATTTCTAACGCCCGATTACATTATGGAACCGGGTATATTTACCCAACTAAAGAGATATTTCCAGTCAGGCGGTTCGCCGGAAGAGGTCATTATGATGCTGTCAGAAAACTATAAAGCCGTGGCACAAATGGCCAATTTATTGGCGGAATGGTTAATTTTAGCGGGCGTTAAAGTAACCGATGTCCAGGCCATGGTAGAGAATCATTTGAAGGATATGATATTGAAAACTTTTGATCCCAAAAAAGCCGATACCATTTTCACCGAAGAGGGTGAGACACCCGACTGGTTAACCGAAATGATAGATCATCCTACTTGGCGTTCTTTGATTTATCGTCTAGCTGAAGAGTATCCCGATTGTTTAATGTTAAATTTTACAATTAAATTGATTTCGGATGCCGGTTTTCAAAGTGAAATTACTTCGATATCAACAGCAGCTCAACAGATTGAAGTATTTTCGCGTGTTCTGAAAACTTCAATAGCAAAGTTTCTTAGTAATCCTGAGGATATACAGGGTGCCATACAAGAATGTGCCCGTATGGTGTGTCATGGTCAGCATACGTATGTTTATTCGCAGGTTTTGATTCAGGTTTTGAGCCAAGAGCCTAAAGGGGGTTTTAATATGAAACGCTTGTCACAGGAGATTACGAAATATGCTTTACAAAAGTAAGTAGAATTCTTCGTGTATTTTTGGATAAGAAATTTGTTAAGTCAATAAACTAGACTACAGACTTATCTATAGACTAGTCTGTATTATAGTGTAGTCTAGTATAAGAGAAAAAAATTCACAATTTACTGTTTCTATAGCAATCAAAATGTCACTCCGATAACTATGGCCCTTAATGGTTCAGCTGCTTATCCTCAAGCCTGCCAGGCTTTATCCTCCATGCTCTCACGTAATACCCTCAATCCAGCCGATATTAATGTACTTTATCGCAACTATTCGGGCACCGATCCTCCACCTATTGATCTCATAAGAAATCCCCAATTCTTGGAATTACTAGTAGATTCACTTTTTAAAGCAGGCGTTAAGATAAATCCTGAACATAAATCAAAATATATTTACCTCTTGGCCTATGCGGCCTCAGTAGTAGATACACCTGCCAAAAAGCGGCCTTTAACAGAGAGAGTCTTAAATAAGGAGGAGTTGAAGAGCACTATACAAGCGATAGAAAAAGTCCATGCTATATGTAATGTCAACAAGGGATCTACTGAACTAATAGCTGAATTGCAAACACTATTCAATTGTATAAAGTAAGTAGATGTGTTTCACAATGTTGCAAATTATTTATATATTTTTTTCTTTTTCTAGATACCCCGTCGTCGGCGTGGGCGTTATACGATGGATAGAAAACACTGTCACCGAACCTTCATACTTTAAACTTTCCACCGATAGTTGCCCCACACATTTAGCTATTCTCGACGAGGTAGCCGCTGTCCATCCCACTTTACATCAACAAATTTTAACTTTGCTCATACGTCTCTTTGAATCGAAACAAGATGAATTGGAAATTTTAGTGCAGTTGGAAATGAAGAAAATGTTATTAGATCGTATGGTAAATTTACTAACACGCGGTTGTGTAGTGCCTGTGGTCAAATACATCAAGCAATGTTGGGGCAAAGGAGACACCGATATTTCTCTCATACGTTATTTTGTCACTGAAGTGTTAGAAACCATTACCCATCCTTATTCGCCGGAATTTGTATTGTTATTTTTGCCTATGGTGGAGAATGAAGAAATTACCGGCACTATGAGGGGTGAGGGTGATAATGATCCGGTATCGGAATTTATAGGTAAGGACAATTTATTTTATTGTTTTGTTACCAGCTTTATAACTTTATTTATTTATTTTCTAGTTCATTGCAAGGCTCATTATACTACAGTGTAATATCGTAGCTGGCTATTGCTTGATTTAATTAGTTTAGTTGTGAAATATTTTTTCTTTTTATTATTATTTTTGTTTTAATTTAAATTTTAAGTACGTCTCCCCTTTTTAGGTTATTTTGGGAATATTTCCTTTTATATTAAAAAAAATATTAACAAGTAATAAGTGTGTATGTAAAAATTATATTTAAATTTTTAATATAATAAAGTATTCAATAAATGAATAAAATAAAAAACATTTTCATATTTTTTAAATTGAAATATTTTGAAAATTGTACTCGAAACAGAACTAAAATAGAACTACAACAGAACTAAAATAGAACTACAACAGAACTAGAACAGAACTAGAACAGAACTAGAACAGAACTAGAACAGAACTAGAACAGAACTAGAACAGAACTAGAACAGAACTAGAACAGAACTAGAACAGAACTAGAACAGAACTAGAACAGAACTAGAACAGAACTAGAACAGAACTAGAACAGAACTAGAACAGAACTAGAACAGAACTAGAACAGGACTAGACAAGAACTAGAACAGAACTAGAACAGAACTAGAGCAGAACTAGAACAGAACTAGAACAGAACTTGAACTGAACTGAACTAGAACTGAACTAGAACTGAACTAGAACTGAACTAGAACTGAACTAGAACTGAACTCGAACAGTACTACAACAAAACTCGAACAGTACTACAACAACTAGAACAGAATTAGAACAAAACTAAAACAGAACTAGAACAGAACTAGAACTAACTAGAACTAACTAGAACAGAACTAGAACAGAATTAGAACAGAACTAGAACAGAACTGGAACAGAACTAGAACAGAACTGGAACAGAACTAGAATAGAACTAGAACAGAACTAGAACATAACTAGAACAGAACTAGAATAGAACTAGAACCGAACTAGAACAGAACTAAAATAGAACTACAACAGAACTAGAACAGAACTAGAATAGAACTAGAACAGAACTAGAACAGAACTAGAACAGAACTAGAACAGAACTAGAATAGAACTAGAACAGAACTAGAACAGAAGTAGAACAGAAAGAACAGAACAGAACAGAACTAGAACAGAACTAAACAGAAAAAACAGAAACAACAAACAGAGAAGGAGAAGAGAACTAGAACAGAACAGGAAGAAACGGGAAGAAGAACGAACAACGAACGAACGAACGAACGAACGAACGAACGAAACGAAAAACGAACGAACGAACGAACGAACGAACAACGAACGAACGAACGAACGAACGAAAACGAAACGAACGAACGAACGAAAACGAAACGAACGAACGAACGAACGAACGAACGAAGAACGAACGAACGAACGAACGAACGAAACGAACGAACGAACGAACGAACGAACGAAACGAACGAACGAACGAACGAACGAACGAACGAACGAACGAACGAACGAAGAACGAACGAACGAACGAACGAACGAACGAAACGAACGAACGAACGAACGAACGAACGAACGAACGAAACGAAACGAAGAACGAACGAACGAACGAACGAACGAACGAAACGAACGAACGAATAACGAAGAACGAAAGAACGAAAGAACGAACGAACGAAGAAGACGAACAACGAACTAACGAACGAACGAACGAACGAACTAACGAACGAACGAAACGAACGAAACGAACGAACTAACGAACGAACGAACGAACGAAAACGAAACGAACGAAGACGAACGAACGAAACGAACGAACGAACGAACGAACGAACGAACGAACGAAGAACGAACGAACGAACGAAACGAACGAACGAAACGAAACGAACGAACGAACGAACGAACGAACGAACAAGAACGAACGAACGAACGAAAGAACGAACGAACGAACGAAAACGAACGAACGAACGAACGAAAACGAACGAACGAAACGAAAACACGAACGAAGAACTAACTAACGAACTAAGAACTACTAACTAACTAACTAACAACTAACTAACTAACTAACTAACTAACTAACTAACGAACTAACTAACTAACTAACTAACAACTAACTAACTAACTAACTAACTAACTAACTAACTAACTACTGACTGACTGACTGACTAACTAACTAACTAACTCACAAATTATTATTTCCTTTATTTTTCATATCATATCTCTTTCCGTAGTGCCTTCTTAATTAGCATAACAATGGCTATTCCTAATCTTTAATCTACTTTTAAATACAAATATGCACCTTACTTTATTTTCGATTAAAAGTGTTATCGTTATCAATTGCCCCCCAATTAGTATGTCCAACATTATCGTAAATTTTGAGACCATTTTACAGTAGGAAGACCATAAAAATAAATAGTATTTAACTTTGTATTGAACTGGTTAATACTACTAAACGCAAGCTTAACGGATAAAATGCTATAAATTATTAAGTGCAAAGTGAAAGGTTTTCGGGAATATATAAAAAATTTTAATAATTAATAATGGTATGTTATTTGTATATAGAAAAAATCAAGCATCGAATTTTGTATAATTTGTTGTTTCATTTCAGGGTTCCAGCAGCAGTAAAAGTAGCGAAAATCTTCGCATTACAATCGGAAGTAATGACAACAAAAGTAAAAAGAAATCGCCACAATTAAATCGCATCAAAACTACCAAATATACTCTGTTAACATTCCTGCCCATAAATTTCTATGATCAATTCCGAAGAGCCGTGTATTTCTATTTTCTAGCGGTTACTATAATATCATTTTTCGTAAGTGAGTAATTAAAATCATATATACATAAACAATTCCTTATATAAAATTTTGTCCTCTATCCTCTCAGACAGTACTATTTCACCTTTGGTCTCCTTAATACCTCTACTATTTGTAATGATTGTTACCGGAGCTAAAGAAGCCTATGATGATTTTCAACGTTATAAAAATGATAATTTGGTGAATTATTCCACGGTGACGGTATATCGTAATGGTCAAGAGCAATATATAGAATCTCGTTTTATATGTCCGGGTGATTTAGTTGTTATCAGCAAAGATGGTGATGTACCCTGTGATGTGGTTTTATTACATTCCACCGATGTTAATGGCAAATGTCATGTAACCACTGCCAATTTAGATGGTGAAACTAATTTGAAAACTTTAATGGTACCCAGAGGTCTTCTGACAAATAGTATAGACCATATTAATAATGTTGGTATAATAGAATGTGAAAGTCCCAAAGCCGATCTTTATTCATTTTTGGGTAAAATTGAGTTAAATGCAAGTAATTCGGTAATACCCTTATCTGAGGAAAATCTTTTACTCAGAGGCTCGAAAATAAAAAATACCGATAAAGTTATAGGCTGTGCTGTTTACACGGGCATGTCCACAAAATTACAATTGAATAGCCGTTATACCGGTAATAAATCTGCCTCCAGTGAGATTTATATTAATAAATTTCTAATATTTTTGGTGGTTATAATGATAGTGGCTTGTATCATCTTGTATATGTTGGGGAGGTAAAAAAAATATTTCAAACCTATTATAACTTCCATCTAATATGTCTATTAATTTCAGATATGAAGAAATTAATGTAGTTCCCCTAATGGATTATCTGGGTCCTCCTATACGTGTTAATGAAATCACTAATATAATTGAAGATTTCTTGGCATTTCTGATACTTTTCAACTATATGGTTCCTATATCGATGTATATGAATATTGAACTTTATCGAATATTCAATGCCTTCTTTATACAGCAGGATTTGCAATTATATGATGCCGAAACTGATCAGAGAGCTGTGGTTAATTCTTCAAATTTAAATGAAGATTTAGGTCAAATAAATATTTTATTTTCGGATAAGACGGGCACTTTGACAAAGAATGAAATGGTTTTCCAGCAGTGTTCCATAGATGGTAGAAAATACATGTATCGTAATGGTTATTTGGTAGATCAAGAAACGGCTGTCCGTTGGGAAATGGATGTATCAGATGATGTGAGTATGAACGGATTAGAAAATGGGGAAAAATATTCTTTAACTCAATCTGTACGAAAGATCAGCTTCTCGCAGGGTTAGCACAAAGCGTTATGTTATACCCTCTGTTACGGATTACTAAAGGGTCTCTGTCTGAAATTTCATGTCAGTTCGATTCTGATAGATTGAGAATAAGGGAATTGTATAAGATGAATGAGGCTTTAAACGAAGATGCACGATCTGAATATAATAAATAAAGGATATCAGAATTAGAACTGGGATAGATTGCAAAAGTTGAATTTTTTTTAAATTCAACATAGATATCGTTAGTCCCTTTGGACCAAGTCAGTTTAATGATAATGAGAATGTGGAGCCTTTTTCTAATTCCGTATAATAAAGAATAAGACAATTGGGTTAAATGATTAGAGAAATGATCTAATATAAACGTGAGAGGAGAGAAAAGATCTGCAAATCATTATCTTTTTTAGAATATTATCCGTTTTGATTTGAGAAATAATAGAACTCCTTCCATTTCAGAAGGATCTTAGAGTTTCGGAAACTACTTTCACTTTGGATGATAAATTTCACATCCATTCATTAGGTTTGTAAGAAAAGGATTCACAGACTTGAAAAAACTATAAGGTCTAAATTTTGTCATTCAGTAAAGATTGCTTATAACGTTCACAAATGATCCAGTTGATCTAAAAGTCTCTAACCGAGCATTAATTATATGCATTCTAATACGACATCTTTATATTATTTGTAGAACCCTCAATTGGAATTCTTCAAAGCTCTTGGACTTTGTCATACCGTACAAATTGCACAAACTCCCAGTGAAATAGACGACAATAGTACCAGTCATACAAGCAGCCCCCAATATCAGGCCTCAAGTCCCGATGAAAAAGCACTTTTGGAAGCATGTTACAATTTAGGACTTCATTATCTAGACGATGATAATGATCTTATCAAATTAAACATTTTAAGTTCTAAAGACCCCGAAAATTCCGAAATTGTAGAGTTCAAACGTCTACACACTTTTGAATTTACTTCGGAACGTAAACGTATGAGTGTTATAATATCGGATGGAATGGAGCGTAAATGGTTATATACAAAAGGAGCTGAAAATGTGATCTTTGAGTTGTGTGGAGAAAAGTCAAAGGATTTAATTTCAATAACCGATCAACATATAACAGAATTCGCCCTACAGGGTTTAAGAACATTAGCTATAGCTAAAAGATTTATACCCGAGGAGGAATATGAAGAATTTATTAATGATCTAAGGCAGGCACAGCTGGCTTTCGATAAGAGGAAAGAGTTAATGGACAATTGTTATAAAACTATAGAATGTGGTAGGTATAGGGATGAACAAGTAAGAGTGTTATATTCGGCTATGCCGAATCTTATATACCCACCATCAAACCTCGTTTGACTCGAATGAAACTTACTTATGTCGAATTTCATCTATATACTCGTATTTTTAGGCCAGTTATAAGCGTTAAAGTAATTTTCTGAAGGGGACCTTATATAGGGGGGGTAGGGTCAATTATGGGTCGATCCTCATAAAAGTTTTTAGATAGATTTTGACTCATATGAAACTTACTTATGTCGAATTTCATCTATATACTAGTATTTTTAAGCCAGTAATGAGCGATAAAGTCATTTTTTGAAGGGGACCTTATATGAGGGTAGGGTCAATTATTTACCGATCCTCATAAAATTTTGCATAGTGATTTTGGATCATTAGAAACTTACTTATGTCGAATTTCATCGCTATATTCGTATTTTTAAACAAGTTATGGCT